TTTTTTAAAATGAAAAATGTGTTTTTAGTTAATAAAAATAAATTGAAGCGAATTGGGGCTGCCTAGGATCGAACCTGCGACCTGTGAGTTGAAATCTTGCAGTAGTACCAGTGAACCATTCAGCCATTTTGAGAACGGGTTCAACAAGTTTTAATATAATATATTCTTTAATAATTATAGAAGTAATATATCGAGTTTAGTCGGATGACCACGGGTTCGGGTGACCCAAAATTAGTACATAAATTCGCCCCTGATCGCATGACCAAACGCCTACTAAATAATTAACTTCCAAACTAATGAAATTTCAAGGCAATTGGACCTATTATCTTTTTGGGCTTCATTTAGTGAAATGGGCCTCCAAAGTTCTCCTATTATTTCATAAAATCTCCCATCTCCTAAATTACAAAACCCTAATAGTCACCAACTCCGCTCGTCATCTTCCGACCACTCATTTCAAAGGTAGCTATCAATTTCCATGGCGAATCACTTATTATTTTCATTTTTTTTTTCAATTTCCTAAACTTTGGTTAGTAATACAGGAACAAAGTTGATCAAATGTCGCTCGGAGAAATCGCCTGCACTTATGCATGTTTAATCCTCAACGATGAGGATATTCCGATCACAGTATGTTTCTCTTTGACATAATCATATTTTTCTTCAACTTTGTTTATGGTTATGTAAATCTAACTGAATTTAATGTTTCAATTTTTGCTATTAATAGGCAGATAAAATTTCAACTTTGGTGAAAACTGCAAATGTAACAGTAGAACCTTACTGGCCTTTACTGTTTGCTAAACTTGCTGAGAAGAAAAACCTTGGTGATCTTATCGTGAATGTTGGTGCTGGTGGCGGCGGTGGTGGTGCCGCAGTTGCTGTTGCAGCTCCAGTTGGTGGAGCTGCTGCTGCGGCTGCTCCTGCTGCTGAGGAAAAGAAGGTGAATGAGAAGGAAATTAATTGTGATTAGTTTTATATGAAGTTATTTTGAAATGTGTATGAATTAATGTGTTTTTGTTGGTGATGTTAACAGGAGGAACCTAAGGAAGAAAGTGATGATGATATGGGATTCAGTCTTTTCGATTAGGAGCTTATGTCGGTATTAAATAGGTCTTCCTTGAGAGAGCATTTTGTTATGTTAGATGTAATTGAGGTTATGGATTTACGTTATGATAGTGTTTGGGATACATTTTTGTTTTGATATCGGCAAATGCATTGGCAAACTTGTTAGGTATTTGATTTTTAGCATCTTGGAAAACGATGCTTCGTGAAGTATAGCATTTGATCAAATTACCAGGGGATCGTCATCCATGTCGTCTGATGAAGCACCTTTTAACTTATCTTTAGTTACCAGATGGTTTATTTTGTTGAAATTTCTTTGTTGTTTGTGTGCATGTTATTACTTTAGGTGTTATTTCTATACTCTATGAATGGAGTCTAAAATCTGGCTTCAAATATGTTTATTAATGAGTAGACGAGCTATTTATTGCTCAAGACAAGTATGTGATATTTGAAGGTTAGAATTGATATATGTACCTAAGAGAGAACTTGTCCAATCAGTTTTCTGCAGTGTAGCATGCTATGCATACTGTGTTTTTTGCACACTCTATCTATATCATAGAAAACATTGTGATACATGTGTGGATTAGCCTCTCTTTAAAGTGTTATATCCTGTGGTCTCTACTTAGCAGTCTGCTTACCAGTGTATGCTATGTATAGACTAAGACTGGGCACCGGACCGGAACGGAATCACCGGACCGGAATGAACCGGTACCGGATCGGACCGGGATGAGTTGACCGGTTTGTTGACCGGTACCGGGATGAACCGGACCGAAATTACCGGTACGGATACACGGTTCCGTCCCGTCCCACTATATACCGGGATGGAACCGGAACGGATCGAAATGGAACGGGATGGGATAAACGGAACGACATTTCAAAAAATGATAAAAAAATTTTTAGTTATTTTAATTTTTTGAAGTACAAAAATATTAATGTTTTTTTGTTTTTCTAAGTTTAAATTAATAGTTTTGAAATTTATAATGTAGTTTTACTTAAGTTTATTTTAAAAATATTTTTTTAAATTTA